GGCCCTGTCTCCCCTGTGACCCTCCCAGGCAGGGCCCTGTCTCCCCTCTGACCCCCCCAAGTCAGGGCCCTGTCTCCTCTCTGACCCCCCCAAGGCAGGGCCCTGTCTCCTCTCTGACCCCCAGGTGGACCCTAACCTGTCATGGGGAGCACAGGAGGTGAGATTCAAGTCCCCAGCTGTCCGCTGGCATTGTGACCTGGGCCAACTGCTTCTGGGTTGGGAGCTCAGTCCAGACTCACTCGGCAGCAGCCAGCACAGCACAGTGAGGATGTGAACGTCATCAGGTCAGGGTCTTCACTGCAGGCTGCCTCAGGCCCCGGGGTGCTGGGCCCCTGACTTCCAGCTGCAGGAGGCCCGCCCCCACCCCGTGTGGGGTTCAGGTAGGCTCCTGCTTCTTCTGGGCTCCTCTGAGCCTGGGAGGGAGGGTGGCCAACCCCCGGCTGACAGGATGACAGGAGGAGGCAGCCGTCCTCAGGAGGGTCCTGGCTTCATGGCTCACAGACTGGCCGCTGGACTGTGCAAACTGTGGAGGGGCCATGCGGGCTTCTTGTGAAGCCAGCCCTGGACGGGTGGGGAGGGCCTCTGGGTCTCCTGAAGACCCAGCGTCAGACACCTGCTGGCCACTCCCTCACTGGCTTCTCTGCCTCTGCTGAAAGCTGGGTCCCAGGTGGCCCCTGCCGTGGCTTCAGGGCTGTCACTGGGATGACGTTGTGACCCACTGTCTCCCCGAGGTAGACTCAGTCTTCCCTGGACCTCGGCTGTGCCAGCCATAGGGTGCAGCCGTCCTGGGTGACAAGTGCACTGGCTCTCCCAGGAAGGAGAAGAGGCAGCCTCAGCCCACCTGCAGAAGAAGCCAGCCAGACCCTGCCTCCTCCACCTGCAGACAGTACCGGCAGGGGACAGCCACAGCTGCTGTGAGGAGTGACGGTCGAGGGCGGGCCTGGGACGGTCGTGGGGCGGTGGCTGCTGTGGTGTCTGTTCACAGATGTTCCATGAGGTCCAAAGGGCCAGGAACCCAGAAGACATAAAGTGTCATTACGACTCAGTCGCAAAGCGGCAGGCAATCTGGTTTACCAAGGAGCATAGAACTGAATGGACACTTCTCCAGACCCACAGTGGCCACAAGTGCGTGAAGACACACTGGGTGTCACCTATCATTAGGGAAACACAGACCTCTTGGTACAACTAGGAGCGCCTCACTCCCACAGGACTTCCCCAGTCAAAACCCTGGAGCATGGCGCCTGCAAGGCTGTGGGTGACTCAGACCCGCACACGGTGTGAGGAAGGTGGCATGGTGCCGCTGCTGGGGAGACCGCCGGGGGACTCCTTGGAAGGCAAACCCGGCATCCCCACAAGGCCCCGCAAAGGAGCTACTCCAAGAAAACCCACAGATTCATGTCCATGTCCACACACAGGAAGATCACTCGGCCAGGGCCAGAGCGAGACGACCCAGCCGCAGCAGCCCATCCACCTGAGCCTCCCTGGCCAGGGCAGCCGGGAGGAGACACAGCTGCTGCGTGGACAGACCTGAGGACTTCGTGCTCCGTGACATCCAGACACACAAGGCCTCACACAGTGTGTGACTAGTGTTAGGAGAGGTCCAGGAGAGTCCAGAGATGGGACATGAGCCCAGGGACTGGGAAGAATGGGGGGCTGTGGGAACTGGTCATCTTTTGGGGTGATGGAATGTCAGAAAAGGGGTAGTAGAGGCATCGAGAAACATTGAACTGATCATTATAAAATGGTTAATTTTATTTTTTTACTTTTTAGTTTTTTTGGCACTAGGAATAGAATCCAGGGGTGCTTTGCCACTGAACCACATCCGCAGCCAGTTTTATTTATTAGTTTGATACAGGGTCTTGCTAAGTTGCTCAGAGTCTCAATAAGTTATGGAGGGTGGCTTTGAATTTGTGATCCTCCTGCCTCAGTCTCCCGAGTCAATGGAATTACAGGCATGTGCCACTGTACGTGGTGTGAATTTTACTTCATGTGAGTTCAAATGAAACCAAATCAAGTTCATGGAGCTCAAATGATCTGTATCCTTTATGGTATATGTATTTTACTACGATTAAAAAAAAAACAGACATCTCCCAAAATCCTCCAACTACTTACACCCTTCCTGAATGCCAGCAGGGTGGAATCAATTGTACATCAGCCCTCGCTGATCCTTCCCATATCATCCCATATTCTCCATAAATCATCCCATCATCTTCCTAACATCCATCATCTTCCTAACATCCATCATCTTCCAATCATTCATTG